GAGAGAGAGAGAGAGAGAGAGAGAGAGAGAGACAGAGACAGAGAGACAGACAGACAGACAGACAGACAGACAGACAGACAGACAGAGAGGACAAAGAAAAAAAAAAGAAACGATGCAAGATGGAAAGACACCAGACTCACGGTTTTGCAGGGGGATTGTTTGTAGTTTCCGGTGGGCTACCATACCAGACAGGTCGCGTGGTGGGTGTGGGTTGGGCATTGGCAGGAGACACAGGGCTCTTGGCTGTCAGCTCTGCGGGCACCACCATGCCACTGGGCGACTGGTCACTGTGGGAGGCTGGTGACTGCTCATTGGATGTTGGTGTGCCCACAAATGTATACACCTACAAGAAGGAAAGAAAGGCAACTTTTCACCCCAAGACCATACTTATCGGACTACGCTTGGCCAGAAACATGCTTTCCAAAGAGTATACATACGAAAAAAAACCTCTCAAAGCTTTGACAAAATAATTAAAAAGCTATTCTTTCAAACCGAACTTACACTTCATTTTTCAAAATCAATGTAATTCAAACACACATACATATGCAAATGAATCTTTTAAAGATAAACCTGCCATGCAAAATTCTAAGTTGGAAGAATTATTTTTCTTTGCCAAGAGAACTTAATTTATAGATACGTTTTCACAGGCACAACCCTCATTTTGGCTAATCAGTTGAATAAAATCATCAACACTAAAAAAAATCTTACAGCTGCTTTGTCTCCCCAAGACAAGACATCCTGTTGGCTCGCAGAAACCACTTCCTTGCCACCTCCTCCTGACTTCTTCTGTTGCTGCTGCAGCTGCTGCACTTGCTGAATCACTGCCAACATATCTGCTGGTTGATGCTGCTGCTGTTGTTGCTGCTGCAGCTGTTGCTGTTGTTGTAGTTGCTGCTGCTGCAATTGTTGTTGCTGTTGGAGCTGTATCTGCATTTGCTGGGGTGAATGTCTAATCTGTACTTTCTGCTGCAATTGACATAGGACACAAAAGTAAGAACAGAGAAAAACCCTGAATTTTATGCTGCCAACCCAAAGGCAAAGAGTCGTAACTGTACATTTCACTATTTTGAGAACAATGCAAAAAGCTTTTGACGTTTAGCCTGTTTAAAATTATGAAAACTACAGAATAAGATTGTTTGGAAAAGTAGATAAATCAGTCTGCCATTGACAACGGGACTGAGAATGGTCATTAACATTCCTTAACCACTTTGAAAACTATTATTTCAGAAGTAGATACATCGTTCTACCTTTGACCCAAAAAGGTTATGGGCAAGACTAACAAAACCAATAAAAAAATTTTTTTTTAAATTTTGTTAAGTACGTCCCTGTGCCTTGGGATGGCATTAAATATGCACGAAAGAAAATTAACAAACACAACAATCACCCAGAGCAAGTAGAAAAACAAATGAAAGAATCACTGAAGGCACCAGAACATAAACAAATACCCAGAGTTGTCATTTACTGTCAGTCAGCACGAAAACAGCCACATCTCACCACAAACTGACAAGAAGAAAAGCAGCATTGTGAAGAAGCAGAAGGAACAAACCACACTACAGCATCTGTTCACAAATTGCAGACACAAAAGAAGACGGCAGAAAAACCTAATTCATAACAACACCATGTCCTCCATTGAGTTTTGCTTTCATAACAGTCAACACTACCACATCAAGTAAAATGTTGCAAGTAGCTATGTGCAATAACAATTACACACTGTAAAAGAAAAAGAAGCACATCCACCTAAAATAAGGTAAACTTACTTCCCCCTTCTCAGAATTTTATTTGAAAACTTTCATCCCGGCAACAGGCTCTTGAAACATCACACATACCTCTTCCTGTTGAGCCTTCTGTTGCTGCTGCTGCTGTTTTTGCTGTTGCAACAACAGTTTCTCCCTTTGGTGGATTTGTTGAACAAGAAGTTCCTGCTGCTGTTTCTGCTGCTGACTTGACTTCAGCTGCTGCTGGTCAAAGTGAAACACATTTCCAGCCTGGAAGAGGAAAAAAAATCAAGCATGCAGAGATATGGCAATACTAAAAACCTCACATACAGGCATAGGCAACAAAAAGATAGTTCTAAGACTTTTAACCAAAATTGAAATAAGAGTAGGCACTGACAATAAACTAACAACAGCCCCCTACACACTGTCACAAAAATGATAAAAGTAATATTCAGTACTCACAATGTCCAAACAACTTCTCTATAGAGTAAAGTGTCAAATATTTTAGTAAAACCTGGTCGCCACTGGAAAACGTCCTTTTTTTTTAGCTACTGTCGTTTTTTTGCTCAAGGACACACCCTGGTAGTCATCCACCTAAACCCAGTATCATCAACACTTGTCTGACATTATTTTTGAGTCTGAACTCACTGACCACTAAGCTACAGGAGCCTGGGATTCCACAAACTAAAAGAACAAACTTGTGTTTCGGTGGGTGGTAGGCAGGTGCCCCTTTTTTCCAATCAATCATTTATCGTTCTCATCTCTCCTTTTTTGTATTTGGTACTCTGTTGTAACACCGCTAATCTTTGGCACTTTTATTGACATAACAGAGTTGAAAGTGACGTAAAACGTTTACTAGAAAGAAAAAAACAAAACAACTCCTGTCTCACCCCAGCTGACCCTGGGCTCGGCGTGGGTGTGGCAGATCCGGGACTGTACACCGGAGAGCTCAGCTGCTTGCCCCGCGACTCCCCGGACTTGTTTTTGGAAGAAGACCGTCCAGCGGGCGGAGGTATGCCAGCGGCAGCCATGCTGGCTTGAGCGTGGCTCTGCGCCGTGTCTGGGTCCAGCTGGTGATATTGCTCCAGATGGCGCCGTAATGAGCGGGCGTCGCAGTATCCCTTGTCACAACCGCTGAGATTACACTCAAAGGGCTTTTTGTCCAAGTGGGTCATCAGATGACCATTCCTGATGGAGATGCACAGCAATAATTAATAAAGTGAAAAAAAGCACATGGCTCAATATTTAATGTTCTTCAGTACTAGAAAAGGAACCAATACCTTTCACTAGATACCATTCGTAAAACTTTGTTGTAAACACGAAACATTAGCCTATTGGCAACAGTTAAACAGGGTCCTCCAAAAAACTTGGACTGGCCCTAGAGCTAAAGTTACGGAAACAGTAGGTCAATGACCGAGACATAGAAAAGACAACACGAAGAGGTTTTTAAATCAAAACAGTCAATATAAAATTGGATTCTTAAGACATTAAACTGAATCAATATCCATTCATATTTATTTAAGGCAATCCAGTCAGTGGAGCAAAAACTTGGCAGACCCTATACCTAAACACGCAGAAGAATGACCCTCAAACGGTTGAAGCATCCATTATAAACTCAAAACTTACAAGTGATCCTGGCGCTTGAAACCCTTAGAGCAGACATTGCAGACATATTTCCTCTCGTCCGAGTGTGTGAGTTTGTGTTTAGCCAGGGCACCAATGTTACTGAAGGTCTTGGCACAAACATTGCACTGTGACATGCCAAACTTGGAGCCCGAAGCATTCATATCTTGGGCAACAGTCGTAACAGGAGCATTCTTCTTGCCTGATGACTGCTGCATTCTGGTATTACTGTCCATCAAGTCCGAATTTTGGGAAGGAATTAAACCTGTGAGAGCAAAACACAAACCCACAGTGTAAGAGCGGTTTACACGTGCATCATGCTGTACAGTGAAGAGTGATAAGATCTCTTTACTTAAAACTTGTACCCAAACCTCTTAAGTAACCAGCACTTTGGCTGAGCACAACTGAAAATATTTTACTAGTCATCAAACTTCTTTGGCTTCATTGAAGAAGTTTTAGGGGGGGTGGGCAACTGAGAGGAGAGGAGCAAAAGACCTGTGCATAACTCAAATAACTGTAACATTGTGATAACTCTATTCTTCTTCTCCGATTAAGAAATGTTAAGCTAGTCCTGAACACTGGTGACAACAAAGCAACATATTTTTACCTGTGTCCAGCACAGATGGGGACTCTGACATGAGACCTGCGTCAGGGAACGGCTGTGGAGACAGGGACAGTGTATCGCCCACGCCATCATCAAACAGGCTGAAATGAGATCCGGTGGGCCCATCCCCGAGCCTCATTCCCTGCCCAGCACTACCCAGGCTCGACAACAGCCCGTCATCAAACTGCGACAGCCCCGTGGTAGGGTTTGAGTCAAAGGCCGAGTCCCCCAGGATCTCGGGGTCATTGAGATTGAGTGTGTTGGCAGCACTCAGCATCTTGTCCCCACCGCTGACAACTGACTGAAAGGGCAGACTGGACATACTCGGCTGGCTGGTGATCATGGCAATGAGGGGGCTGCTTGGCCCGGCCCCACTCAGGCTGTCTGAAGTTACCAGCACACTCAGAGGGGACTTGGCCTCGCCACTGCCGCTCAAGTCGTTTAAGAACCCAGTGTCCGGCATTTTGTACATGGCTAAATCCGATAAGCCATTCAAAGGCTCTGCTGAAGAGAACGTTATGTTATTTACAGTAGGCTGAAACCCATTCAGATTCGACAAGCTCAGGGGTATTTCCAGGAAGTTTAGTGGTATATTGTTCTGTGAATCCGATGTCACAGATGACATTAAGTTTGAAAGCAAGGATGGGCCGTCCAATCCAATAGCCAAGGGTAATGACTGGCTGTTGCTCCCTGCGACTTGCTGTCCTTCCATGACTGCACTTTCCGATGGCAAAGAAACTTGAGGCCCTTGCTTCCATCAATCACCGCATCAATCATACTAGAATATTATGCTTGTCACAAAATGAATCTAAAGAATATGTTGAACTCCTACATGATGACTCTGCAAGACCTGGCAGTGGAAGAAAAATAGGAAAAATAATAAGTACAAGTTCACTTGGACAATAACAAAAACAAAATGAAAATAAACAGCAACTTCCTCACTTCTTCAGGCTACTGCTTGAAAGCATGATTCACACAGCACAACATACAACCTTCATTAATCTCTCTTACAGTTTAGTGGGTGTATTAAAAAACTCCCTAGAAGACATTTTTAAAAACAAAGACTTACCAGTTACCAGTTACCTGCTACAATGATTAGAAAGTTAGAAGACTGAATAAATCTTTCTCAAAATTTACTTTCTTATCAAAATTACATACAAAGTTCTGAAAAATTATTCCTCCCAACTAAAAATGTCAAATTTTTTGTCGACCAAAGACATGAGAGTTAACACAGTTCATAAATAAATGATATTGACACTTCAGGTTCCATTCCTAGTTTTAGGCTGCCTAATTATGGAACTAAGAATCTAGATCAAGCTATTTCACTTAACATGATATGTTACTGTCGGTGTTAAATTCTAACCCGATATGTGCATGAACACTGAATTGCAGAAGTGGAAAAATGACTTTCTTTTCACCTCTCTGTAAAAGATTCACCACAAACGACCACTTCGACTTTACACTTCCCCCTGAGTTTTTTGTTAACATCATAATGACAACCTGCAAGACGTACACCTGTCTAAAAATAAGATGGTCTATTTTCCCTCTGACAATAGGTGGCCATCCTGAACAATTTCGACTGCATGCAGTTCACGAATTGTATTTAAGGTTGTGAATAACCAAATTAGAGATGAAGCGTTTGACCTAATTTAAGAGATACACCATTAACGCTAGACATGGACAATGCATTTCTGTTTTAAACTCACTTTATCTCCTTTTCTTCAAAAAACAATTTATAAATAAGAGAAGAAATGAACATGTAGGCCTACTCAATGAATTATGACAGAGTGTCTCCTCATGGTACTTCGTGACCTAGAGTAATAAACACTACTAAACTGAACAGCTACGATAACATGATCAATGATCATCCACAGAATTTCTAAAGCAACCTTGTAAACACATTCTGTACAGCACTAGATCTAGTAATGTAACACCATGATTTGTTTTGATCTCAGCTAGGTGAGGTACGACAAGAGCCAGGAGTTTACATGACCCCTTGCCATATCTAGCAATCCTGAGATAAAGAAAAAAAGACATACGAAGCTTCATCGAGCACCTAGCCCACCTCTGTGATTGGTCCAAATATAGATGACATATTTCCGCCATATATATCTATTTTTGTCTTCTTCCAGGGTTTCCCCCCAAGACTCTTGGGTTTCCTTCGCCAGTAACTGTTGACTAGATCTCGCCTTGTTTGTTGGTTGTTTTTTTGTTGTTGTGTTAATTTGTTTTATCTTTTATATAAACAATCTCAGCAATTCTCCTTCCATAAATTTACCTTCTCCTCAAAGCTGTACTCACACACACATACACACAACAGCGAGTGCACACACATACACAGCCCAAGCAGTCGGCGATGAAACCTAGTGACGTAGCCCATTGCGCGCTAAGCGGCAAAGTGGGCCCGCCACGGTAAGATCTAGTCAACTGACGAGGGAAGCCCCGGAAGACGACAAAAATAGAAGGCGCAAAATCATCATTTTTTTTATTTGGGCTAATCACAGAGCAGGTGTACTAGGTACTCCCTGTAGCTTCATGTAAAAAAGTGCAGGCTATTTAAGTTAAAGCAGGTATGGATTTCCAGTCAATCTCAGTGCTTTTACACAAACAATTTAGCAATGCCAAAGAAAATCTAATTTTTCACATTAGCCCTTTCTTATTTGGTGCCTAAGAAAGAATTTTCAATTCTAAGAATTATATGCTTCTAAAAAATTAAGAGTCTGTTAAAAAATAAAACAGTAATTGGATTGTAAAGGTCGGCAAAACATGGATGACCCACAGATAAAATACTCCTAAACAGTGGACCACGCTGTAGCAGATTCTGTAAGATAATCGGTGATATCCGTAATTAATTGGAGTGTTAGAGAGAAACTTGGCTACCCGATGTGTTTTTGGGTGGAGAAATAATTTCTAATGTCAGATTTACTAACCATTTCGTAGTTATTTTGTTATATAAAAAATTTTTATTTTGAAGTACATATTACGATTTTGCGGAAAAGGAGTGTAGGGATGAGTCCATTTTATTTATAAAGCCTCGTATCACAATGTGGGACCTTTAAGAATGCCTGACTAAATAATGGCAAAGCTTTCTTTGATGACTTTAGACAATGCCAACCGTAAAAGAAAAGTTAATTTTATCTAGCATGCCGTACAATTAAAAATTCTTTTTCCCCGTTGAGACGTGAACACCCCGAGACGAGATTAGCTCGCCTCGGAATACCCCTATCTATTGCGATGCTACAGGGGAACAGAGAGAAAAACAACCGGAAGCACGCGCCCGCCATAGCCCTATTTCAAGAGACCAATAAACGGGCTCGGAATAGTCGTGCGGGGATTTGTAGGTCACATACATTTGCTGCGAGAGTGAAGGGAAAATGGCCGGTCTCCATGTGAAGCCGCTTTGGATAGTGGGGTAGTCGTGCATTTATGATCAGGTCTAAACAACTACTTGACACAGAACGTTTAAATTTGAGCACACTATAGAGGATGATCTATTACAATCTCAGCGTTGAAATTCAAGCTCCTTATAGTTTTCGGTACACCTGACACGAAAGTGTTCCCGACACCAAACATACAGTAAAATTTATGTGTACGAAATTCAACGTCCACACATCACTAGTTCGCCCTCTTTTCTGATTGGTTGCCGAGTTTCATTCACATTGGTCCAGAAATAGAGCAACCGAGGTAAGAGAAAGTTAGTCACCTAGGCTACGACCCAGTCCAAAAATTCACCCGCAAACGGGGACTAAATTTCCGCTGCGAGGGAAAGCCCGATAGGCATTGCAGTTGGCTAAACAATTGTCACAATTGGTTCTTCTTGCCCAAATTTTAAAAAACTTAGGCTCGGCTTCTTAGATCTAGATCTAGATCTAGTATCCACAGACGGGTCGCACCCACAAGTTGCAATCATAATCAAGTAGCCTACACTACAAAACAAAAGATAAATGATAAAATAGGGACAAGATCATTAACAAGACGAGGTGGGAATTGATTCGAGTTTAAATTCCCCTGACTTTTTTACTTTTTACAAAGTCTAGACCTAGGCCTAGATATCTAGATCTAGGCCAAAATTAGAAGAGTACCAACACGTAAACAAGACTTACTTTTACATGCATATATGATCGATTCTAATTCTGCCCTCAACAAAATAAAAAAAATTAACATGTACAAAGGCAACAAAACTGGAGGAATGCAGGCTCTGCATCAAAGAGTTATCATGCCTAGATTCTAGATCTATAGTCTAATAATCATCTTCTTCTAGTCTAGCATTAACCCACTCTCACAAGAACAACTTATCCAACCTAACTCTTGGCCCTCGGCAGTGATGCCTCATCAGTAAATTTCAATTCAGTGACGCAACATCTGCACGTTCGTACAAAGCTTTTACTCTGGTCGACAAAATACTCGAATAGAGCTTTATGGAAAATACAGAGAAACGGATTGCTTTCAGACAGGAGGCTACAGAAAGGCCTGGGTAGTAAGGATTAACCTCACAGATCTCTCGAGTTAAAAACACTGAAGATCGATCTAGATCTACTGCAAAATGCTCTGCTAAGACGGAGTGAAGCTGGAACTGCACAAATCGGAGGCAAATTGTCTTCGTCTTGCGTCCATAGCATTCATAGAACACTAAAAGAAGGAAATATTGAACAGACACTAAAAAATCGCACTTAACGTACTTTTCGATACAAAACCTTGCTTTTTTCTTGGAACTTGTCGGCGCTCCTTGAAGTGTGTTGAAGGATGGAAGTAGGCCACTGAGGTCGGCCATTAATTGCCAACAACCATATTTGTTCCTTTATAATTGCAACTTCCGCATATAGTGCCACATAAATCTTCAATTTATACTGTTAATAGGACATAAATTAAGCAGGTGTGAATAAAATCGTCATAATTTAAACACCATTCTCATATCAATGCTTTCAAATATTCAAAGTCGTGTTTTGGTAAAAAAGAAAATAAAACATAAATTGTTGTGCTTAGTAATATATTTGTACTTTTATTTGTAAACAAAATGTAGTCCATGACATCATTTGAACATTGCGCATGGACGGAACTTGAATGACGTGTGGACAAACTTACTTGCCAATATGGCGTGTCATTTCTGTGCATTTAGGAAAAAATTAATTTGGCTACATAATATCAAAACACAAAAGATTTGAAAGATATACTGTAGTGTAACATTAAAGAAATTGTTTTATATTGCAACATTTTCAAATTTTATGCTTTTAGCCATAATCTGTTCCTCTGTTCATTATTATCAGTTTGGTATGTGTAAGTTGTTCAAACACACATATTCGGTAATGTTTCACTTTCGGAACACAAAGAATTAAACTCTGTTCGTGATTTTAGTTTTTTCTGTCTTAAAAACAGCGTTAAAAATTTAGTTGTGTGGTCGAAAGAATACACAATGATTCTTGAGTCATCAAGTTTCTATCCTTAACTAGGCCCTACTTGACCCACAAAAGAGTGTTGGAGGGTTCCTGGTATCCCCGTCAAAAACAATCATGGCGGAAAACTCATTGAGAGTACGATCTGGTTCCAGTGGAAAAGGACACCCACCTTCAAGCCCTGGTATGTGCCGTCTGTTTGTACTTTCTTTTACAAGTAACCTATTTATTAGTTTTATATGTCATGCTTTACTAGTTTTCAATCTGTGAAAGGTATGAGATCTACATTTCTCATTGTGATCATTATGAGCTCTCTCACTCTCATTTAACTTCGCTATTAATACTATTATTGTCCTGCGTATCAGTAGCGTAGCAGACTTAGTTTATTGAATACTTGTTTGTAAGTAATGACGTTTTACATTGGCTTCATGGTGTAACTGGCTGCCCTTATATTTATTACATGTGTTGTAATATGTTTAAACACAGTGGACACTGGGTTATTTTCCCACACAAACAATGTGTTAGTGCCGGAGGAGTAGGAGTGACTCTGAGTGAGTTTGCACTGAAAGTGGGAAACTGACACTTCTGCGCTGTCTCACTCTCCTCAGTCAATCCTCAGCCTCCGTGACCTCAGTATCTAGATCTAGATCTAAATCTAGATAATCTAGATCTAGATCTAAATCTAGATAATCTAGATCTAGATCTAGATCTAGTACTTCTTGATTAAGATTAAGGGGAGATGTACACTCCCAGAAAATTTTTCTAAACGAATGACTTTTATTCAATTTCATGTAATTGTGCAAGAAGTTCATAGGTAAATAGAATGTACTAGGGGTGAATTTGTTGAATTTTTCAAAAAAATGGGTCTCTGTGGTGGCCATATTGGATTTTCAAACCAGTTTCTTAGTGCAGAAGAATTTCATAGTAAATAGCTCTAGATTGAATTATCAGCCTGAAATTTGGCACACAAGTACAAACCTAACTGGGGATCCATGAAAGGATTTTGACCTATCTTTAAAACTAAAAAAGTGAGCCCAAAGTCATTGGACCCCCTAGAGTCAGTTGACGAAATTTTGGGGTACATATTACAAAGAAATTGGATATTTTCTCAAGTTACCAATATTTCCCAAGGAAGTGGCTATTCTCATCCGGGGTGAGAATAGAAAAACGATCTACCTCTCACCTCGGGTGAGACTTGCCAGCGTAGGGCGTAGGCTATTCTCACCCGGTGCGAAACAAGACCTGCTTTTTCTCATTTTGGAATACTGTCTATCGGTGTGGATGATCAAATTAATAAAAGCAAAGAAAAAATTACGTTATAGCACAAAAGTAAGCTAATTTGATCCGTCTTCAAAGATGCTATGGCTATTTCACTGTTCGAATCGAGCCGAACTACGCGGGTCGCCATTTTGTTTTGCCCGGAAGTTCTCGCAAGATTTACTCCTCCCCTCTCTCTCTCTCTGTCTCTTTCTGAAAACTGTCTATCGGTGTGGACGATCAAATTGACCAAAACAAAGTTAAAAAATGATGTTAAAACACAAAAGTAAATTAATTTGGTTGTCTACAAAGATGCTACGGCTATTAAACTTTTCGAATCGAGCCGAACTATGCGGGTCGCCATTTTGTTTTGACCGGAAGTTCTCGCGCTACTCCTCTCTCTCTCTCTTTCTCTCTCTCTCTCTCCACTGCCCACAGACAAAATTGTACGCTTTTAGTAGGCTACAGTTGTAATGGAACGTTTGTTCACGGCACAGAATTCTACAATTTTTCTGTTATCACAGTGTAGAATTCTGTGGTTTAGGGTGAATACTGAATGCAAAATTTGTAGCCCTAGATCTAGGCTATAACGGTGAACGCGCACCGGGTGAGAATAGCCAAAAGACTCGCCTGCACTATTCTCACCCCGGGTGAGAATAGAGGTGGCCATTTCCCAATTCCCTTTCATAGATCCCTAGAATCGATCTTAAAGCACCTGTACACCAAATTTGAAGCTTCTAGCTTCTGTAGCTTTTAAAAACTCCTTGCACCCAGGAGGTCACATATGTCAAAAAGTAGATTTTGAGAAAAACATAAAAAACAGGGATTTTTTAACGGATTTTTAGAGCAATTTGCACTTTTCAAACGCCATTTTAGGTCATTAAGGGTGTTTTTTCAACAGTTTCTTCATTTTGACTCGATAGAACAGATGTCAAAGGATGTTTTTCCACAAAAAACAAAAGTTGGATAGTTTGAAAAATTGTATCGATATTGCCTTGGATCGCCGACCCGCGTCTTCCCTTAAGTAACTTTCTGAGTCTCTGCGGTAGTGTTCTGACAGTTCTCAGTGTTGCAGATCTCTAGTTTTTAGACATTGTCACTGGAGTTGTCGAGGATGAACACCTCTCATCTCAGTAGGCCTACTCCACTAGAATCTACGGCGCTTTTTCGGTAGATCTAGTTCCCACCCCGTTATTGTTATTCGCTGGTTTTGGCCGCAAGGGTAGGAGGGTTTTCGGGCTAGGGAGTGTATACAGACCCGGTAACCGGGAACAAAGTCACAAAGTATAAAGACCTGGTAGGGGAACTCTTTTGCGATTTCGGAAAGTTTCACCGCCCTCTTGGCTCAGGGTAGACCATAGGTGTACACTACCAAGGCTCTTCTAGATCTATGGCCTAGGTCTAGATCTGGACAGACAGACATAAATCATTGATCCAGTTTCAAGGCTAGCGTAGATCTAGATCTAAATGAAGATTGCAGATGTCTTTTCGATGAGCGATCGTTTTTCCTCCGTTTTGGAGTTGGAGGAATCACAATTTGAAGAAAAGAACAATGTCATAATTTCAATCGAGCAGTCACCCTCTTTCTATTTCTCTGCCACACCCCCCCCTTCTCTCTCTCTCTCTCTCTCTCTCTCTCTCTCTCTCTCTCTCTCTCTCTCTCTCTCTCTCTCTCTCTCTCTCTCTCTCTCTCTCTCTCTCTCTCTCTCTCTCTCTCTCTCCCTCTCTCTCTCTCTCTCTCTCTCCCCTCCCCCCTCCCTCTCTCTCTCTCTCTCACTCACACACACACACTTCGTGACACACAACCGGGTCTGGGCGCTGAAACTTTCCGAAATCACAAAAGAGTTCCCCTACCGGGTCTGTATACTTTGTGACTTTGTTCCCGGTTACCGGGTCTGTATACACTTTGTTCAGGCTAATAAAAATATGGTGGGGGGTGTCCATGCCCCCCTGGATTTTACCATAATTTAATGTTTTTCAGTTGTTAGGTTTGATATCTTAGCTCGCTTCACTTCAAACGTATAAATCTAGATGTAGATCTAGGCTCAAATAGGGGGGGGGGGGGGGGGAACTACTGAAAAAGCACTGAATCTACACTACATTACTAGATTCTATATAATCTACATGTTCTAGATTGTCATCAAGTAGGTCTAGATCTAGATCTCAAGAATCTAGTTCTAGTTTTCTATATTGAATAGATCTAGATATCTAGATCTAATTTCTAGATAGATCTAGATCTAGTATACCCGTAGTGTGTAGTCTATAGAATCTAGTAGTAGATTTAGATCTAAGTAGTTAATAAACTAGAAGGTCCTACGCCTGTATTTATCTGCCATAAAAGTAGAAGAGATACCACCACTACTACAACCTTCTATGATTTGCTGTCCATATATTTATGAGTATATGTGTGTGTGCCTAAAGAAAGGTACAAAAAGTCGCCACAGAGAATTTTGAGCTATAGGCTGATAATGACAAAAAAATCACTTTTTTTTACCAAAATGTGTTTCCATTAAAAAAACGAAGTGGCTAGCCGTTGAGGGTCTAGTACGGCTAGACTGCCAGTCTAGCCGTACTTAGATCTAGGTTTGGCCCCATCGACTCAAGCCTGTTTAATACACAGGTCTCATTAGATCTAGATCTAGTAATTATTCAGGTTCAAAACATGCAAGTCAGTATGGCACCTTTTGGTTTTGTCTGAAATACAAATACTTTAGGCATTGCAAACTAAAAATTTCATTTACAATTCAGCCATCAATATTAAGTACGGCTAGCCTGACAGTCTAGCCGTCCTTAAGTACGGCTAGACTGCCAGTCTAGCCGTACTTATCTTAGGCCCTATTAACATTAGAAAACAGGAGGTTTAAAATACATGCACTGTCGTTAAGGCACCTGGTTTCGTCTCAAATACAAATATTTTAGGTACTGCACACTAAAAATGTATATTTACAATTCAGTAGGCCTATTTTTTGTCAGTCTAGCTGTCATTAAGTACGGCTAGCCTCTTCCTAAAAAAAATTGTAGTTCCACCATTTTTTTAACAATTCTTACAAGTGTTAAAAGGGTTTTCATGGATTTGACTTCTAAATATTATATTTTGAATAATTTTGAGACTATTCTTGAAGCATGTTTTCTCTTCCCTGCTATGTTTTCAAGAATTCTAATCATGATATTGATGTCAACTGAATGCCAAATTGGAAATGAATTTTCCATTTTTTTAAATACATTAGAAACAAGTGAATTATTGTTGGGTTTTTTTTTCAAGTTTTTAAGTGTCCTAAACTTAAAAACTAATTTCTCAAAATTAGATCTTTATACCCTTCCTCACAAAATGTAAAATATCTCAAAAACTACTTGGAGATATATCTCAAAAATTCAAAAACCACTGTGTTCAGCATTGAATTTTCTATAAGGTGCAACCCTTAACTCAAAATGGTCAAAATCCGACTTTTTGTACGCTCTTTTTTTAGGCACACACACAATGTAACCACACTATAGGCTAAACTAGACTAAAAACTAAAGACTATTCATATACTACAGGCTTACTAGTTACTAGATCTAGCCGATGTTTCATGAAATCACACGTTTCGGTTCTGAAGATGGCCTAATTATTAGGGTCACAAGCGTTTAAATACAAAAGAATTGCAAGGTGGGAGTGGTCATTTGAGCAGGTCTTGTACAGCTGGTCATTAGAGTAGGTTCAGCTATATTTAATATTCAACTGAGTAAGCCAATAATGAAAAATACTAACGCTGTCGCAGGTTTACTATTTTGCCAAAAATAAGATAGGTCGAAATTACTGAAGGATGATAAGAAAATTTGAATTTGAATTTCGTGAAGTTCTCTCTGCTGAAATTTTAAACCCTTGCAGTAACAGAGAGTAAGTTATTATTTTTTACTTGACAATATTAAATAGGAATCTGAGTAATACATTCAATTCATTGGATAACCGTACTTGTCAGTAAAATTAGAAATGCTGTCTATTAAAAAGTCTCTTTTCATTCTTATTGATAATATCTTTATACATATGTCTATTTTGTACAGTTGTAATTGGTTTTTATTTATTGTTTTAAAAAATTTGATTTTGCACTTCCAGACTTTTCTAACAGAGGAGGTATGCTTCTGTTCACGAGTCCAGCAGTGTTTGTTCCTTCTTGAGAATCTCTTATGGTTTTGTTCCTGTTTGTAACTGGGCTTTGCTTTTGGTTTGTAGTATTTGTCCCCCAGCCTGCTTGAGGCCTAGGTGGAGTGTTCATTTCTTTCAGAATGTTATATTTCTCATGTTCTGAGGCTGCGAAGGATGGAAAATTGTACCTGAAGCTTTCGCAGCGTTGTACAAGCAGCATGATCTTGATAGTTCTTGCACATGTGTGTATTTTTTTTTACGTATTAAGTTATTAAGGATAGGGGCTGGGTGTTCCATGATATTGCTGATTTTAGGTTAAATTGTGAAATTTGAGTTGTTTACCCGATTAATGTAATGTAGTTCAGTTCTGCCAGTTTTCTAGAAAAACAAAAGGCAACAAAAAAATAACAAAAGATTAATTTTATAAACCTGTTCAAATTCGTGTAAGTTTCCTTTGAAAGCATGAAAATAAAGCATTTGGCAAATTCTGCAACACCTCAGCCAAACCTTTTTCCTTACAGGATTAAAGGACATTTTGGTGCAGCTTTTGGCCTCACTTTTTTATTCTTCATTCTATTTTCATATAAAACTTTCAGCAGGAAACCTTCACTGCGTACAAAAAATGTTGCTTTCAGTAGAAAATTTATCGATTTATAGATAATAATTTGATGTTCAGCAGATTGTGTAACTGAATTTGGTTACTTTTTTTAAATTTATCTTTAAGATTCCCCAAAAAGTTTTTCTTTCAAACATATCTCAAAATCATACACTGTATGGAAGTTTGTATTTAGCAAACTCTCACCAAGCATGGGGGAATTTGAATGACATATAATAATACATTAGGGATAAATTTCATGTTGTTTATTTTCAATATATGGCAATCAGTTCCATAACAATTATAGCAAGCGGTCATACATCTTAGAGCTTTTGTGTAAAGATGATCTCGCTATATCTAAGTCATTAAGTAGACAGGATTTTTGTTTTAGAACATGGGTCACAGTGTCACCCCTTTCCTAAAACACCATTAGTAAAAAAGAAGTAAGCTAGAAAAAAATCATACAATTGATTGATGCCAAGAATATAGGCAGTAAAATCCTTGAAGTTTTCTGTGAGAAGGGGTCTGTTTCAGCTGATGATGAGAAATAAAAGAGACCATACACTGTACTTTGTTTTCTATTTGCGAAAAGTTCAATAAAATAGTCTGACTGTTTGTGTGGCTTGATGATTTTGGGTCATTCAGAGAAACTGCTCAGCAAATACTTTTTCATGTTTCATCGTTGATTAAAAATCTAGATCGAGACTAGATGAACATATTTTTATATAAACATGAACCAATGGACTGCTATGGTGCTTTTGACCTAAAATTGCATAATTTAATAATTAATTCTCTTGTTTCTTCAGTGAGCAGTTCTTTTGCTGTGGGGTTGATACTCGTTTTAGGGCAACTCATGATACTATATACAATACATATTGGCTTTCATTGATTTTGACATTGAACACAGGTACATTGCTTTGTGAATGGTGGGTGTGCGTTCCTGGCTTTCAGTGTTCACACGTGGGTGTTCTCTCTCTCAGTTGTTAGTCGTCTTTTGTAGTTTTTTTAGCAATTATTTTTTTCTCTTGCTGTATAAGTATTTTGCAGCCCTGTGTTATCATTCTTCTTTAGATCTCAGCTGCCAGGATAGTGTTTTGCAGAAAAGCACATAGTATCTTGAAATGAATTCGTTCCTTTTGAAAAAAACTTTTTTTTTATTGCACTGCAATTGTTATCTGCAAAGAGATTATAATGGCACTCACACTTTCTTCCAATTCCTTTATTGTGTTCTTGATTGTGGGGATGTTCCCATGCGAGTGTATTGAATCTTTCCTCATGTATAGATGGTGAACTTTATCGCACCGCTTGTTGGTGGTTTTTTTACTTTAATAAAGTGGTCTCCGCTGAAGAATACTCTGCATAAAAACCCTTTCAGCTAAAGAACCCGCTTTTACCTTGTAACAACTTTTTTTCTATAATAATTTTCATTCCTAAGAACCTGTCTACAAAAAGAAATTCGCATAAGAACTCAGTTTGAGCTCAGGTTATTAATTAAACTTTTATGAACTGCTTTACCAATTCTTCGTGCAGTTTGGGATGAAATTAGATAGGTTGGCACACTTTACTCAGAAGGTTGTCTAAGGCACACACACGAGCTCTGTCAAGCTGATCAGGCGCTGAGTGGTTGTCGACTGACATAATCACCTACACTTCTCGCATGGTCCAAATCGTCCTATTGTCTTATAAAAGCAGACCTATTCACGGTCATTCTTTCCTATCACTTGCATGGAGTTGTAACTAATGCTGTTTCATAGTTACAATATTCAATATATGTTATCAAATTGCAGTGACTACGTCGCATGGTAGAAATTCACACTGAAACCCCTGGTTCTGCAGTTGCAGTACCAAAACAATGAACACCATTTAGACACACAACATGTGTTTAGTTTTCTTTCTTTCTTTTTTTTTCCAATGTAAAACTCTGTCTCTCGTTGGTGGGTGTCAGTATCATCTACAGGTCAATATTTTATTATAGAATGAATAAAGGGTAGCCAACGGGTAGGAACTGAATTGTGGCCCCTTGTAATATCATAGGAAGCCACTTTTTTTTTCTCCAGATGACCATCATGTTTTTAGGCGGAGACTGCTGTATTTGTTTCTCATTTCTGTCTGAGGTTGTTTTTCATTTTTTGCAATAAACTGACTGTGGTTATGTTGACATGTTTCTGTTATTCTTGGATCTGATGTGCCCCTCCTTCAGCTCTCTGTTAATCATGATCGTGAAGCTGAAATATTCTGTTGTGCTGTTACCAATTTGCTAGGTCCTGACCATTGGTGCAATTTATGCTTATGCTGAATGTTCCTTTTAATTAGGACTTTTAAATAATGAGTTTACTTATTATGTGTTGTTGCTTTTTTTTTTATAATTTCACCTCCTTCCCCTACAACTTCATACTGTTGAAAGAGGTACTGATTTTTGTTAATTAAGCTTATTTTCAGGTCCTTTAGTATATAGCTTTTCCCTTCAGTTCATGGAACAAATTTGTAAGCTTTTTTTTTGCTATGTCTTTCAATATAAAATAAAGACATTGGGTTTTTAATACAACAGTTTCCTTCCCACAGATTCCCAGCCAATGCATGCAGGTACATACCAGATACCTTACTCCCTTTTTGTTTGTTACCCCTTTTTAAAAGAACGTTAAATGACTTTTTCATATTGGTATTCTGCCCAAGAGTCATTTTGATTATTTAATTGTGAATACCTTGAAGGTGTTAGTTTGTCAATAAAAGACTAAACATGGGTGTGGTGCTTGGGCAAAATCATCAAACTGGTTCAATGTTAGACTTCATTCTGTTTTAATGTGTTCTAATGTTCTAACACCAAGGGAAAGGCAATATTTTGTTTTTGTTACTGCAGTTGATTTCTCATAGATCCAGTTCAGTTAAGATTTTCAAATTGTTTTACTTTTTAACCAAATTTCTTTAAAAAATGATGTTATTATCTATTTGCTGAGATTCAAGAATCTGTCTCGTTCCTTGCTTGACACATTGTTCATTTCCCAAACCCCAAATCAGTCCCCCCTTATTTCTCCCAACACTCTCTGTACTCAATGTATTATTGTTGATTATGAATCACCGTTGCTTTGCGTCTCATATACGAGCCTCCCTTTTTGCTTTTAAATATATGAACCTCCCTTTTATCATCTCCCAAATGTGATAGCTGAATAGATCTCATAGATTCATCATACTGATAGATTCGTTTCAATTCTTTTGTTTTGAGAAGATGTGTGACATGTTCAAAAAAAGAGAGTTCTATTCAGACACTTTTAGGACTAACAGTAGTATAGTTTATGGTTGGATATAGGTATTATTTATTACAATTATAGTAGACAAACTTTAGGACTTAATTTTGTATTCATGATGTTTCTATTGTGGACTGGGTCATCAGTCTGATGAGCATAATAAAAGTAAAAGAGAAGATATTTTTCTCCATTTTCTTTGTGAGAGGTTTGTGAATGGCATGAGCAGCCTGCTTCTTTTCCCCTTTTCTTTCTGATCTTCATGAGAATTTATGCTTTTTGTGTGCTTATCTCTCAACCAAAACCATTTCTCTATCTTTGGTTCTAGTTGAATTTTTAGCACTGCGCTCATATAATGTAATCGTTGAACAGTCTTGTCTGAATAGTTCAGCTGGTTCCTCGCTTTTTTTTCTTCTTTCATCCCGATCCTACGTTCCCTGCTCAATAGTACTCGATTGGTGTCCTTTTCATGCCTTTGTACAAGGTGATGCCATGACTTTTGACTTCAAAGTGCCCTCTGAAAATGTTTTCTGTGCTCCTAAGTATTGAATCAGTTTGATTAACATTGTTGCTAATCTGTGTGAGCTGGAAAAGGTTTTGCATGGTGGAACCTTATGTCTTTCCAAATGAAGACTTTCTTTCTGTGACACTTTTTATTTTTTGTAATTCTATGATTATAGATAGTATAATAGCTCAATTTCTTGGCTTGCTTCTCATGAAACTGATTTTTTAAAGTTATTTGTAGGAAAAGAGTTGCTTGACTTATTGGAGTCCTTTTTCAGAACGTATATATATATATATGTTACAGTAAGAATGCGTACCTAGTGATTACACTCGTAATCCCCGTTTCACTCAGGGGTTTCACGTAATCACTGAAATTTCTAGTGATTACACGAAATCCCTAAAATTAGACCTATCATTTTACGTGTTTTTACTACATATGTACTGAGCTTTCAGTGAATTCACGTAATAGCCCAGCCACTGTACAGGGATTGTGCGTTTTCACTGAAATATTCAGTGATTACGCGTATTAACTAGATTGATCTACATGTTCTTACTGTAACATAGATATGCCAGCTGGCAAACAAGGAGACAAAGTTTGTGTGCCAGTTCGAGGGAGAGGCGATCCTAGAAATATCCTTGGTGTCATAATTGACAGACGAGAAGATAGCCGTAAAAGCTGGTTTGTATTCCAGAAATCAGTTCGATCTGTGCCCTGGGCGTCTTCTGAACACTGACGACATAAACACCGAAAAAATAGTTTCACTGCGTTCGGCAGTGATTTTTCAATCCTCTTCAGGTGGACAAGGCTTCACAAGATGCAACTGTACTGGTGCCAAAAAGTGTAGTTCAAGGCGATGTAAATGCCGCAGAGCAGGGCTTTAGTGTAACTTACGCTGTCATAGCAGCCTCAGTTGTTGTTACAAGTGACGACGTCGATGGATTTTAGTCTTAAGTATTTAAATGAAAACTGAAACAACAACAACGACAATGGTGTCTGCCATTTTAAAAAATTAAATGCTTAGTTTTTAGATTGTGGAGCAGGTGTTTTTGTGTTGTGTGTGTGTGTGTGCGAGAGAGAGAGAGAGAATCTTTTACCGAACTGACTATTTAAGCAATAAAATAATTTTGCATATGCCTGATCATTTTTTTAAGAATTTTTAAATGCTTAATTTTTAGATTCTGGAGCATGTGAGTGTGTGTGTGTGTGTGTGAAAGAGAGAGAGAGAGAGAGTGTGTATGTTACCGAACTGACTATTTAAGGAATAAACTTGTACAAAAGTATATTATACTACACATGTCTGATCAGGGATTACGCGTAATTACTGTGACCATTTTTCAGGGATTTCACGTAGTTCCTGATTATTTCAGTGATTTCGTGAAATCTCCGAGTGAAACAGGGATTACGCGTTTTCACTGAAATATTCAGTGATTACGTGTATTCACTAGGTACACGTTCTTACTGTAACATATATATGTATTAGCTCTCTAGATCTTGTTCCGTCATTTTCTCATGATTTGACAAATCGATCAATGATTTTGGAAAAATTGTTCACATTCACTGACAGGAAATCACTTATGACAGTATGTTTCTCTACCGAACAAAATGTTGCTTGCACCTTATTAACATGCTACTAAAATATTTGTGTTTTTACCTGTTTTTTTAATCTTATTTCATTTTTGAGTGCCATGACCTGAATTTGTGAAGATAATGAGCTCCTCCATCCCCCCTCCCAGCTTTGGAAGAAAGTTTTGCTAATATGTCTTCCTCATTTTCATTTTTTTTTTTTTTTTTTTAAATTCTTTTTCTCTTATTTGTTATTACCTCAGCATTATTTAGGAAGACTGAAAAACTGTTCCTGAAGTACTAGTGCAAATGTTGATAATAATTTTCTTTCTTAAGGGAAAGTGTATCTCATTAAAAAATGTTTTCCATGTATTTTCCTTTTCACATCTATTTTTTTTTAGCAGCTGTATCAATGTGTACTCCAATATATTCTGCTAGCAAATATGCTTCCCCTGGTCCCGTTTATGATGTTTGCCCATGACAGTGTTAGACAATTTTGTTTGTGCTCAAAAATATTTTTTTCTGTTAATTTATTGCCTTCTTCAGTTAAAGTTAGTGGGAATTTCAGTTTTCTTTTAATTACTTACTAATAGATTAATTCTCCTGTGTTTGTGCATATTGCTAGCTTTAAAGTTTTGGATTTTTGTATTGATCTGCCTTTTTTTAGTAGAAAGAGGCTGAAGTAGAAAGCAAAATACAGAGGGAAGTATAAAATAATTTGGCAACATGTGCACAAAATTGCCTGAAGTAACAAAACCTTTTTTTTTTTTTTTTTTTTTTCAATATTCATAAAATTTTATATATTAGCTGTGCAGATATTAAACTAGTGACGGCGTGAAAAAGGTGTGAGTGGGAAATTAGGGGATGGAGAACTGTGTACTATCTCCTTTCTGCCAGAGCAGTAAAATTCTGTGTGTTTGTTGCCTCAGCAAACTATATACTCTATTGGAATATTTTACTATTTGCTCCCGCTCTTTCGATAATCATACACATACATTTTTTGGTACCAGGGCATTTAAGAATAAGCATGACAAGGTTGGGACTTAGGGGGAAAAAATCTGTCTACTTAGTAGGTGCAGCAGGTTGGTTTTGAAAATGATTATTATAGATATTCAAAAGTTCCAGTACCCACTGACTTATTTTTTTGTTTCCTGTTGTTACTAACGGCATTTGTAACAAATAAAGATTTTTTGTTTGTTAAAGTCGCCATTTGTATTAACAAGACTATCTGTACCTAACTGGCTTATTATTATTTTTCTTTGATTTTAAGCATTTCGTTGAATAATGGTCCCACGTCAAAAGTGTTTCATCATTTGTATGAACAAGTGTTTATTTTCCTTGTATTATATTTAAGATTCAATTTCTTTATGCTAAGTACCAGTTTCTCTTGGGTTTATCTGAGTAGGCCCTTAGGCTTCAGTAAAAAATGCTATAAGCTTGCAGAGTGTACTAATGAAAAGGTGTATATGGTACTGATAAAAAGGTGTATGAAGACATGTATTTTACATGTTAGCACAGTCATAAATTGGGCACGCATGCACACGCGCGCACGCGCACACACACACACACACACACACACACACACACACACACACACACACACACACACACACACACACAATCCTACACACTTGGTTTGCAATTCTAAATTTTTCTTCTCTCAGTAGTGAATGGTAGTCTACTCAGCCTGTCGCTTGGCTTCTCTTCTGGTATAGATTGTTTTTTTGCCATTCTTGGGTTACCCTGCCCTCCCATTTGATTTTGAATTTTATTGTTTTTAAAGGCTTTTATCCCATACAGACACGCATTATAACATATGACTCTGCAAATATATAAATTGGTGCAGTGCATCAGATATTTACATACATTGGGCACACATGCACACTCACTCACACACACACACGCACACACACACAATCCTACACACGTGGTTTGCAATTTAAAATTTTCCTTCTGTCAGTAGTGTATGGTAGTCTACTCCGTACTCAGCCTGTCGCTTGGCTTCTGTTCAGGCATCGATTGTTTTATGGCCATTCTTGGGTTACCCTACCCTCCCAGAGTGCTTTGAATTCACCTTGCACAGAATCTATTACTCTGGAATGGTGGCTACTTGAATTTTAATAGTTGTGTTATTAGTAGTAGAATTGTAATTGTAGGTCCTGGGTAAACCAGTTTTTTTCTTTTTTATACTCTTGCATCATGGAAAACAAGAGAACTTTCTCATTGGAAATATTTTGTTCTTTCTATGTGTAGAGGACTTAAGGATTTTGAGCCAAAGAGAAACTAGTGCTTGTGTCCTTTCTCGTTTTTTTTTTCTCTATGTGTAAAAATGCATATGGAGCTGTCTGTATGTGGGTGGTTTGCTTGTGCACTTGTGTGATTTGCTCCTTCTTTCCTACCAATAATCTATCATCCTTGTCTCTCCTTTTTTCTTTTTTTTTTTGTGTTTCTTACTACTCTCTTGTACTATCTTCAGTTTTCTTCACTTATATGACCTAATTTATGTTGCTTTAATACTCTTATTCTGTCTCTTTAGATAGCTTGTTCAAAAACGATCTCTTTTGATGTTCAGTATTATGCTTATTATTCAAAGACAATCTCAAATGATTTTGGTTTTTTTGTTGTGGAACTTGTTCTTAAGAAGTCTTAAATGATGGTTGGGGGGGGGGGGTCTTCTTCGTATATATTTCACTCAGTCATTTAGATCTATATCCTGGCCGAATTCTAATTGTGGTGCTGTTTTTTGTTTTTAGCTCATAACTAATAATTTCCTCTAAAAAAATTGTAACCAGTTGGTCACGGTTAATCTCGTAACCTCTCCTTTGATCTTTTAGTGTCTGCAAAGGGCACCCCCCTGAAGGGAGAGCCAGTGCAGATTGTGGTTGCCACTGACAACCATCAGTTTGAGCTCGACGAAGAGGCGTTGGAGCAGATCCTGCTGCGCAGCGATGTGAAAGACAAGAACGTGGCCATCGTCTCAGTGGCCGGGTCCTTTCGCAAGGGCAAATCCTTCCTGCTGGATTTCTTCCTGCGCTATCTCAGCGCTGGGGTAAGCTCATATAAGAGCATGCCATTGGTTAATGCATGCATGATTGAGAATAAGAATTGTTTGTTGAGCGCAAATTGTTTTGGAGATGTGCATTCCATAAGGTTGTTTAAGATGAATTTATTTTCTGTAATTAGTAATATAAGCTTCAGTAAGTATAATGCTTTGGTTTTTCATAGTCATGCCTGACTCATCTTGTAATAGTCACATTTAACCCCCCCCCCGGGGCGGTGCTACTGACTGAAGTGTCTTTTAAGCCAATCCCAAAGGGAGGACATTAATCATGTTCTTATGTACAGTAGAATTGTGATTGTAAATGGGCTGATTCTTCAATGTCATGCTCATAACTGTACCTGAACTGCAACAGGGAAGGGCTGCTTTTTCTTTCCTAATCCTTACTATCGTCATTTCCCTCTGCTTCTTTTGTATGTTTGTCACACTCACCCGCTATTTCCGGGGTGCCTTGATAGTCGAAGCTGACTTTGTGCTGTTGAAGTTAAAGAGGTGAGCAGAGTAAGCCTGATTCCCTGTAAGGACATCTCTGTTCACATCCACCCCTTGGTGCTCATATGACCGTTGGCCGTTGCGAGCGCCATAAAACATCTACTAAAAAACCCAAAAGATTTAGTTTCTGTGACCAGGCCTTCACTCTCCTTTTTTCCCCCCATTAGTTTTTCATGTGATGTTTTCTTGTCTTTTTGGTTGTATTGTTTTACTTTGAAGGTTTTCATTGATGTTTTTTATTTGTTGGGAGGTGGGAGGGGGATTAACCGTGGGTTTGTAGGCATTTGGTTTTGTTTTTGTTTTTTGTAAGATAAGTTTTTGAAGATCATTTTCAAATAAGGTTTTGCTATTTGCAGGGTGCACCCGACTGGCTTGGAGATGAAAATGCGCCACTTGAGGGTTTCTCCTGGCGGGGTGGGTCTGAACGAGACACGACAGGAATCCTCATGTGGAGTGAACCTTTCATTGTGAAGACACGTGATGGAGAAGAGGTAAGAAGAAATCTAGTGGATTGACAGTCTTGCAAGTACGGAAATAATCTAGGGCAAAAGTAATCCTTCTTTTGTATTCAGCGAATGATGGTCAATGATAGGATAGCCTCTGTGTTGGTTTTTTTTGGTATAGATTCACTTTTGTTATAAACTTTTGACCTTATTTTTTTATATTGTAATACAAAAACTTACTCTTTTCCAAACAAGACATCCAACAATTTCTTTTCCCCAACCTCCCTCCGTGGCACTTCACCAAGGCAAAAGTAGACTTACAGCTGACCACACCCGACGAAGAAAGCACAAACACCAAAACATTTAAAGCAGAATACAAAAAACGTATAGAAAAATACCCCGGTGCTGAGCTTATCTTCACAGATGGCTCCAAAAAAGACAATGATGTGGGCGCCGCTGCCCTATCTTCAAACACACACAGTACACACCAGAGGAGACTCCATCATGAAGCCTCCATTTTCTCTGCAGAGGCCATTGCCATTGACATGGCACTGGACTCCGTAGAAAATTCTCCTAACAAATCTTCCTTATCCTTTCTGACTCTCTGTCTTTCATCACCTCACTCACAGACTACACACTCCTACACCCAAAAATAGTTAGGCTACAACAGAAAATTCACACCTTAACTGAAACAGGGGAAAATATCGTGTTCGTATGGATACCTAGCCATGTGGGCATCCGAGGAAACGAGCAGGTGGATGACTTGGCGAAGAAATCCTTATCCCTTATGTTTGGATCAACGACGAACACTCTCCCACAGACTGACTTTAAAAATAAAGTCAAAAAGTACACCTCCAGTCTGTGGGAGAGCCACTGGAAAAAAAACAGACGGGTAACAAACTCCACAATATTAAACCCAAACTGGGACTGCGAAATCCTTCAGACCTCTCCAGAAGAGACGAAGTCATTTTTACTCGATTAGGCATCGGACACACGGCCCTAACACACAAATACTTCCTTCAGGGAGATGTGAAGCCGTTCTGTGTCAGATGCGACACAGATTTTACCATTAGACACATTCTAACCGAATGTCTAGACTTTGGAGAGACCCGAAGGAAATACTTTAAATGCAAAAAGTTGCAAGACATTGATTTCCGTCGTTGATCCCAACAGAATTTTGGATTTTATGAAGGCCATTGGCCTTTATAGAAAGTTGTGAATTTTTAAATGTTGTTTAGAAAGTTGTTTTAGATTTAAATTTAAATCTAAAATCTATTTACACTTGATTTTTAGCGTTTTTAAAGTTTTAAATAGAAGTATTGACCAGTACCAGACCAAGAAATAAATTGTTGAGAGAAAAAAAAACTTGTTTAGTGGGCTCCTATGACCTTATGCAGTTGTGAGCGCCGTAAGATCCCATACTATACTAAAACTATATTGAATTGTATTATGATAAGATAAAAAGGGATGAAAATGTTTTTCTCGGTGAATGCTCTGTAGTTCATTTTCTACCCTCATTCTAAATTGTTTCAGCAGTCTCAAAACTATTTAGATGTCCAGGTCCCTGAATATGTCAGAATTAGAATTGAATAGTCAGGTGTGATCTTGCGTTTTGTTTACCAATCTCTCTCTCAGAACTAAATACTTCTATCCTTTTTAAATGAACAAAAAAACTGAATGTGTAAAGATTTTTTTTTTCAAAAAGATTTTTCTATTGTAATTTTCTTTTTCTTTTTGTCATCATGGTAGATTGTTCTGTTGCTGATGGATACCCAAGGTGCATTTGACAGTGAAAGTACAGTGAAGGATTGTGCTACCATCTTCGCTCTCAGCACTATGATCAGCTCTGTCCAGGTGATGATCACGGATATACTTTATAGTGCGTGACGCTAGCTTTTTAAAAGTTTTTGTTCCCCCCTGCTACCAAAGTGGTCAGAATGGCCACTTGTGTCTAGATATCTGAAATTTTGTGTATCGGACTGTTAAAACTTGCGGTTACTTGCCGCAATAATGCACCGATGAAATTTTATCTGTTTTATCTGTTCCCGTCACTTGACGCAGTACTGCGACAGGTCCGAGAAGTCCGTTGCAGTCATTCTCCAACCCCCCAGGGCAGTGCCACTGACTGTAGTGTCTTTAGGCCATTCCCAAAGGGGGGGACATTTCTCGTTAAAGCATAGTA